ATAATCAATAAAGTAAAACTTGTAGCTATATCTTGATTGTTATCCTAAGACTGTCTATGCCTTATTTTTCCCAGGTGTTCWTGAAACTTTTTTCACAAAAATTGATCATAATGAAAATATTAGGAAATTAGGTAATAAGAAAATATTCCAAAAAACACGCCCTGATCATGTGCATTAGCACTAGAAATTATTGACAAAAATGAAAAAGAAAAAGGCATATCCACATAAAAATTAAAAACTCTTCTCTTAAAAGACTTTTGGGGCTAACATTGCTGCTGTGGAAGCCCTTCCAGGCCTASAGGTCTCTTCTCTGGGCACCACCTTGGTTACCTTGCTACTTCCTACTATCTTCATGGTCACTGCTGCTGAACCGTAAGTCTCCTGCCAATCAACTGCCACCTGCACCAATACTACCATTGCTGCTGCCTCTGATTCCACGCTGCCAGCCTGAGGTCGCCTGGAGGTCTTCTTTCTGRGTGCTGCTGCCAAAGAAGACACCACTGTCCCAGATGCAACTAAAGCTGATCCCCAGCCTGGTGATGCTGCCCCCACAGCTGCAATTGCAGCCACCGCTGCAGCCGCCTCTACTGCTGACCTGCTGCCTGCAGCTAACAACTACTGCCACTAYCACGTCTACCATGGCCTAGAGGACTACTTCAGGGGAGACTCCAAGTTTGATTGCATGTGGCTGCACCCATTTTGGGACACCACCCAGGGCCCTGGGGCCCAGATGACAGCAGGATAACCACCACAAGAGCCTCTATCTGGGGACTCCAGCTAGAACCTGGAGGAGACTGGGGTCTTCCTGCTAAGAGTGATGGTGGCCCTTGTCTTGCTGTTGCATCGTGGGGTTGCTCCTTTGCATTAGTGTATCCCTAGTGGTCTTTCTACAAGTAGGAGCAACAATTGAGATATTGGGACTGCAGCATAGCCAAGCCTGAGTTATGTGAAGCTCAGATTGGTGGAATAGAGACTGGGTTTTCGAGGGCTGATCTGGGTTTGGTGATCCCCAGAAATGTCAAAGACAGGCTGAGAAACTGTTGAACACTGACAGAGACAGTTTAACTTTCCAGGAAGATTTATTTTATTTTATTTTTTGATTTGCTAATCTCTCTACCATATTTGGAATAGGATGTTTTTTATGCATCAGTGTTTGGAGGACAATGATACATGAATGTTGTTTTGCATTTTTGTTGTATTCTTATGTCTTTAATTTTTTATCTTTGTTCATATTCTTCCTCTCTCTTGTCTGTTTTCTTGGATTTTCTTTCCAACTTTTCTCTAACCAACATTCAATCTCTGTCAGCTCCTCTTTCACTCTTCCTGTGAATTTTTACTTCTAGCTTCTCTCTTTCTCCTTCACGAATATTGCATATTACACTAKCTCTGTTCTCTCATCCACCATTTGAAGTTGTAAACCATTTTAACAAATTTTCTATTTATACAATAGATTGCTATTGAACTCATCATTTTGGTTTAATGAGAGAAAGCAGTAGGTGCCTTAGTGAGAATTATTAGATTTAAGGCTATATATTATGTTCACTGGATGCTGTTGATATTGGCCTCACCATTAAAGGCGAAGAGTTAGAAACCTTTCGGAACACTGTAGGTCTAGAGGGTATAATGTATGCTACCTTAGATCCATATTTTTAGATGGGAAAACACACATACAACATCAAAAAAAAATAAGGGAATAAAGTGCCCCAAACCAACCAARACACTTCAACAACAGAAGCCACTGATAACACAGTAGAAGAAATGTCTAAGAAGGAGTTCAGATTGTACATAGTTAAATTGATATATGAAGTAAAGGATAGTATAAGGAGTGAAATTAAAGAAAAAATACAGGAAGTGAAAGACCACTTCAATAAAGAGATCATGAAAAAAAAACCCAAGCAGAACTAATCAAAATGAAAGAATCAATAAACCAAATTATAAATTCAATAGAAAGCCTCACCAACCAATAGACCACTTGGAGTACAGAACCTCAGACAATGAAGACAAATATATAATATATAATCTTGAAGGTAGAATTGACCATGCAGAGAAGATGGTAAGAAACCATGAACAGAGCATCCAAAAATTATGGGATAACATGAAAAGACCAAACTTAAGAGGTATCAGAATAGATGAAGGAGTGGATATACAAACCAAAGGAATACACCATCTTTTAAATGATATAATAGCAGAAAATTTCCCAAACCTAAAGAATGGAATAAAAATCAAATACAAGAGGCTTACAGGACACCAAATGAACAAAATTATAGCAGACTCACACCAAGACACATTATAAAAATAATGACAGAGAAAAAAGATAAATCTTAAAGGCTGTGAGAGAAAAAAAAATTACGCATAGGGGGGAAATAATTCRGATGTGGGGATGAGGGGATGTGGGGATAGGAAAGATAGTAGAATGCCATTACTTTCTTCTAAAACTGTACAAGGCTAGCTAAAATTAAACAGGTAGACATACTCAAATCATTAAAATGATATTAAAGGATATCGTCAAAGTGAAAAAAGTACAGAGTTGTGTGAGGGAAAAATGGATAAATGAAAGCACAATCAGGGGAGGGTCTTGAGAATCAAAAGAAAAGAAGGCCAAAAAGGAAATGCACTGATATATCACAGAACTCTTATTATCAGTAAAAGAAGATAAGTTCATCACTTCAGTGTGTTGCCAGATGTTGAAGCCCCTCAAGACCCTGCTTCTGTGACTTCCTGGAATACCAAATGCAATCCATGTCTTTATGGCATAACGTCCTGAGAGGAGGCTATGTGTTACTTGCAGCTGAGAGCATTTCTAGMGTACACACTCTAGGGATCAGATCAGATGTGATTGTTAGAGACACYTTAACCATATATTTTTATTCACCTAAATTATCTCATCTATTGGGTCTTGKGGGGTGGGGAACACCTGAGAACAAATGATGTTTAAGAACAATACCACACAAATTAGTGTAACAGAAAGCAAACAAGCAAACAACACCAGTGTTTATAGAACTCAGATASAAGTCACTTCCCTCCTAGTCAGTGAATTTCAAGTAAGCAGGAAAGAAAAATTGACTAAGGAGCTGGATCCAAGAGATCTAAAAGACTCCAAGGATCTGGATGACAATGGACAGATAAGTTTGGAGGTCAAATAAAGTCCAGCCATCTGTTAGAAAATTGGCTAAAACATAGGTCACATACCCAGGACCAGAGCTAACGGGGAAGAAAAGCAGATGTTTGATGAAGTTATAAGAGAAAGCATGCAACTATCTGGATCTGGTTTGACATGTAGTAAAAGGCCATGAAAATGAAATTATTTTTATTATCTTTAATAATATCCTGTATTACTCTTATAATTCTAGGGAGTTTCAATCTGGAAAATGAGATTTACTTTTTATGTTAGAATCCTGGCTTCTACTTTTCTGTTTTATCATTTAAATCCTTAACCCAAATATGCTTAGAAAATAATAAAACACCTGATTATTGCTTTGGACTTAGGAAAATGGTTAAAATGAGACTAAGCAGATTATTTATGGTCTTCTTGCTGATTATGTATTCTTATAGACATTTAATATAGTAATATGCACCTAAAACTATTTGTTCCAAGATGTATAGAATAAAAGAAAGTTGAAATTTATTATAACTCATAAATTCAATGAGAAACATGAATGGAAAGCAACAGAACAAGGAGAAGAAATATTGTCTTTGCCATCTTAGTACAAACATTTTTATTTTGCATGTACAAAAATTAAGGGAAACCTATATCCAATCCAATGCAGCACATCCATGTTTAATCACCAGCTAGCATGGCTGATTGTTTCTAAAATGAAGACAGATGACAGGTATTTCACAGCCTCACACAGACAAAATGAGAAGGAAAGAGACACTCAGCCAGCCAGCCTGTGAAGTCTTGGAACACACTGACGTCATCCATGTTTGAAAAAACAAAGATTACAGAACCCCCAGGCAACCAGACCTATGCCTTGGAAAATACCAACTGGTCCATCTCTTTGAAAAAGATGCTACTCAGATAGTGTGTTTTTCTCATAACTGTGAAGACTTAAATTCTTATTCTCATTTCATCTCACATCCRTAATTCTTTAGTCTTTTTGACACATTTACAAGGCAATGTAACTCTTAGAGTTTTATTTTTCTTCTAGGTCCCCTCCTTTCTTCTTTCCATCCAATTCCAAGCAATAATCAACTATTTGACTCCCTTCTTGACCTTTACATAATCTTTGACCTTGTAATTATGGCACTGTAAAATAAGAGCTCCTACCAACCCAGAAAACAGTCATTTGGGAAGTTTGTGTACATAGAATTCAATTTACAGTGAGGGAGTAAGCAAAAATGTCTATGAAATAGACAGTTCCCTATCTAATATCCAATGCTTTGTCTATATTTACTTTATAGTCATGTCTGAGTTACCTAATTTTGAACACTGATTAAAAACAGCAAATTACATAGTCTAATATTTTGAAAAAATGACTGTAGCRAACTTGGCAGTAACAGACACACCTAATTTGGAAAGGGGCAAAAACTAATCCAGATCTGAGTCTGATGACCTCAAACTAGCAAACCTGTAACACAAGCTAAGTATCATTTGTAACTGGCGTAGGCAGTATAAAATGTTGGGAAGGATTCTCAAAATCTTATCACATCTCCTTCCCATTATAGGAACTTTAATCATGACATTCCCTTCCAGGGACAATCTGGTCACTGTATGAAAACAAGGATGGTCTGGCTACCTTCCAAGAAAGCCTATTCCACTTTTAATAAACATTTTTTTAGAAGGCTCATTATTAAAAAGCCAGCAACAGCTACTCTGTAACTTCAATTTCTTGATTCTAGCTCTTTCACTTAAYCAGCACTTATACAGTAATTATTCTTGGTAGTAGACAATATAGAAGATAAAATACATCTGCCCTTTATCCACCTCGAAAGGCCCATGAACAAGAGCTTCCCTTGCTACTGGGTCCCTTTCTGCCTTCTCAAGCCTCAGTATTACTTACCTGAATCACACCTCCCAGGAAGGAAACAGCTGCAGCAACTCCAATCCTTTGTACCTCAAAGTCAGATAAGCCCAGTACACTGGAGTTGCTCTGCATGGTGAGGTTCCGGCTGCTTTGAGGGACTAGCCGTTCCACAGCATTGGCTGATATTAAGGATGTCAAGGCAAAGGTGCCTAAAAGGAGATGCAGAGAACCTTCAATTAGTAACTCAAGAAAATGATATAATCAAAATTGTTGAATTCTACCATTAAAGTTGATGCCATATTGCAAAGCCAAACAGATCTATGAGAAACAATATCTGTATCCCCACTTCACCTTTCACCCCTCTCTATGAAACAAGTAGATACGTGCGTTCTCTGTATACATACATTCGTTAACAAGCAATCATACTCATCTACCTGCTATGACCTCCTGGGCCATATATTTCCCTTCCTGTCTGCATACTGGCATGGAAAATGTCCTAGGGGCAGTGGTTAAGATTGTGGCCTGCATTTAAATCCAGTACCTCAATTTATCAATAATGTGACCTATAGTGCCTTACTCTGGGTCTAAGTTAGCTCATCCATTAACTGGGGCAATTAATAATACCTATATTTCAGGGTTAGGGGAGAATGTAAAGGAGGTAAGTTCAATGACCTCAGTAAACTCAGTGGTTACATATGAACTCTGATTGAAATGCTCCTATGTAGATGCTACTTATTTTTCAATTCTGGCTGATATTCCATATTCACAAGGATCTATTCCAGTTACTCCTGACCAGGCTTAAATCTTTCTCCCCACTGTGATCTCATAACCAAGTGTAGCTTTATTATAATATAACAATGTCCTATGACTCATAAAATGATTAAATATACATCTACTGCTGTTAGATAAGGCTAGCAATATTTACCAAGAATCACCTTGCCTTCTACATGTGTGGGACCATGTTCAGTGAGTGCCCTTTTCCTGTCAAGAGTTCCTATGCCTGTCATCTTGGTAAAGACTGCCTGAAATGCTACCGCTTGGATGGGGAAATGCTCATTCCCACAGAAAGGCTCAGAAAACTTGGGTTAAAAAAAAAAAAAAACACTGCTGCACTGTGCAAACATGCCCCCAAACCACTACTTACAATCTTACTTTGCTCCAGGTTATAATGGAGACTGCAAAAAAAATGGACTTGGCAACATGTCCATAGAACACAAAGCATGGAGTAGCACAGGGCAAGCAAAACAGGACTCCAACAGATACGAGTCTCAATGGAACATACCTCCCTACACACACACACACACACACACACACACACACACACACACACAATCTTCTTTTCTCAATGGATAAGAGGCTTTAAATAAGAAGGGCAGTATGTGCTGTGGATTTAGAACAAAGTGGCGATTATAGATTCTAATGAAGGTAGCCTTAAGTCCCAGAACTGTCACCCTTCAACCTCCTTATCTGTAAACAGATAGCATTTCTCATCCAATAGGGTTGTTATGAAAATTGGATAATAAAATACAGAACATATCAAATAGCAAACATCTAATCGCATGTGGTTAGCTCCTAATAAATGTTAGGCAGACAATTCTTAGTAAGATTAAGATCAGATTGCTCTCTTATGGTCTGTTATTCTTTACTCTTCTCTTAGAGTTGATGGTCCATAAACATATATGGAAAATTGAAGAGTTCTTTTAGTGAGCAAAGTCATCCTCAATAAATCATAAATAAATCATCTTGATTATTGCCCTCATCCAAAAAAAAAAAAGCTTAATTAAGAATGCATCCAGGAATGAATATATCTGATGATGAGAGACAAGATTCTAGCACCCAGGATAGAGACTATTAAGGAAGGAACATTCACAATAGAATCTTATCTTGATAAGATATATTTTTCAGGATGTGCTACAGCAGGTTTGTCCTGAAAGTGAATCAGATGTTGCTTTAAATCTTTAAATCTCCTGGACCACAAAGCAAAATGATTTATAGAGAAGCCCTGAACAAATGACTATAAAACTGAAAACATACAAAAGAGTTAATTTTTTGAGTTTAGGCCTAACTTTCCTAGAATTTGGAGGAAGATAAGAAGGATTTAAATGGTAGAACAGAAAGGGTCATCTACATGTTTTTTGGGGGGGAGAAGATGAGCCTCACCTGGATAGGAGTTCCTTTAGCAAGACTACAGCTTGGCTCTTTCTGAGATAGTGGAGGATGACCAAGGAGCTGGGGCTGCTGCAATGTAAGGATGTTGTGGATGGTCTGCTTTCTCTATTTATGAGCCTCACCCTCGTTTATATCTTCTTCCTACTACCTCTCGGTTTTTTTTGTTATTTTCTCAACTTTTTACCCTAGTCAGGCTTTAAACCCACTAGTGGAAGCAACCCTTAAATACCACTAACCCATTTGGTCACTTAATAGTACTGTGGGTAGCAGGGTCTAATAGGAAGTGAGTATGGGTTCCAGCCTTGGACAGACCCAAGTTTAAATCCTATTCCACTGAATATCAGCCTGTGTTCTTGGTCAATTTACCAACCTCACCCAAATTCCATATTTTTAAATGATGAAAAAAATATCTACTTATAAAAATTGGGAAGAGAATAGATGAAATTTTATATATAAAACATTTTCACAATGTAAACTTTCAGTACAATAATTGTTTGTTTTTATTTCTTATATTATCTTCCTAAGTTTTCTCTAAGTTGTTCATTTTTCTTCTCCCAGAAAAGCCATTTAGATGGCCCTACCTCATCTACCAAAAAATTGTCCAATTTAGAAGACAAGTAAATCTTCTGAATTGTCACATATTGGTTGTTTTCCTTAGTTCTGTTTCCATTGGATTCTTACCCATGTTTCCATCTTTTCCTTTTATAGCCAAAGGAATAAGTTAATTGATTATTTCTTGTCACAGAAATTATATCTATTTTTTACCTTATAGACCATAAGTTTCCTACAGCTGTTAATAATTTATTAAATAATTTGTTAGTTGAGGTCTTATATAAATGGTAATTTCAAAACTACTCAACCAACAAATGTCTTCAGTGATTACCTAGGTAATAAAATTGTTTATGTAAAGGTACATGTACATATTATCAAACTGTGCATTTTTTACTTCGTAATGTAATTATGGCCTATTGGTTTGTTTTGCCTTTTCTTGTGTTAAATAGAGGGAATTCTGTGAGGTCCATTCTGAAGCTATAAGCCAGTCAGCTTTTTCTAAGAACATATTAAAATCTTTCAAAAATGAAAATAAACTATTCAGAAATGAAAAAGCAGGATAATTAACTAATAAGCTTTACGAATTTCTAATTCATTATTGTGTTCTTCTTTTGCATTAATATAAAAGAAAAATTCATTCTAAAACACCACATTGTCAAGAAAAGAAAAAAGAAAAAAACTTAGGCTTTATATTTGGCCACCTCTGAATTGTAAACCATGCACCTCTGACTTTAATTTGTGCCCTCCCAGGAAGTTTTCTGAATTTCAGAGTTTGTGGTTATTTTTATTTTCTTTTTAATCTGAAATATGCAGATAATAATGCCCACTTAATAGGTAAGAAATAGCACAAAGTAACATGTAATGCTCTTAATAAAGTACCTAATGAATAGTATATGGATGGTTTTGAAACTTATGTATACATAAAGATACATGCATATGCATACATATACATTTATATTTTTATATACGTATATATATAATGTTTATATTTTATATACAGGCATGTATATAACAGGGATTCATTATAAGAAATGCATTGTAAGCAATTTCTCTCGGGCAAATACCATCATTCATAATTGTACTTACTCAAACTAAGATAGCTATGGTGTCACTAGGTTATTATTATGGGATCATGTTCTTCTATGTCATTTATTGTTGACTAAAATTTCATTATGTGGCTCTCGACTATGCATATGTGTGTATGTAAAACTTAGAGATTTTGTGAAAATGCTGATTGTATTTCGGTAGGTCTGAGGTAGAAAACCAAGGTTTTGTGTTTCTAACAAACTCCCATGCAATGCAGATTCACGGAGAAGAGTTTAGGTAGCAATACTTTAAATGATGGTTTGCTGTCAATCCTTCCCCATAACAAAGTTATGGATATAAAAAACCAAACATTACACACAAAATATTTTATGAAAAATTTTATGTGTCAATGTGGTAAGCAAAATTATGTCCCCCAAATATGTCTACATGCTAATCCCTAGAACCTGTGAACATGCTATGCTCCTTGGCAAGGAMTAATTCATGTTACAGATGAATTAAAGATTGATAATCAGTTGACCTTAATATAAGAGGATTACCCTGGATTGTCCATGTATATCCAATGTAATCACAAGGTTCTTTAAATATGGAAGACGGAGGAAAAAAGATGAGAGTCAGAGAGAGATTTGAAGATGCCACAATGCTGCCTTGAAGGTGTAGGAAACATCTAGAAGACAGGCAAGTCAAGAATACGCATTCCCTCCTAAGATCTTCCAGAAAGGAATGAAGCCCTGCTGACTCAATTTTAGTCCTGGACACTCGTTTCAGATTACTGATTTCCAGAACTGAACAATAACTTTGTATTGTTTTAAGCCACTAAACTCATGCTAATTTATTACAGCAGCATTAGGAAACTAATACAATCAATAACACAAAGTGATCCCTGAAGATATGGTTGCAAAATGATTAGAGGCTAAGATCTGACACTGAGAAAATATTATAGAAATGTGTATATATTTCCATTTTAAAGTACTTTATTAGTATTTAAGATTAAAGTGTCATTTTAATAATAGCTAACTTTATTAAACTTTATGAAGCAAATACTAAATTAGACACTGTTCATCAATGATCTAGTTCTCAGTGTGATTATATGAAATTCAGCAGAAGGGCATCTTACTATTAAGGAAGAACCAAATAGAGATAGCTTTAAAATTTTGTCCAGATCACATAGATAGCAAACAGAAAAGGAGACCTATGCCCAAGTTTAACTAACACCAACCCAGCCTGCTGTAGTAGCAGAATAATCATGACTGCTCATGTTTTAAGGCAAGATACATACCAATTAAAGGGTATTACAGAATCTAGCCTGGAAGAAACCTAGAAGACCATTTAGCCCAAATATCAAACACATGTGTAAAACATTTTTCAGTATTTGAATTACTAAATTTTATAGTCTTTTTTGTTTTCTTTCAAGTTCTTACTTCCTCTTATCTCATTGTAAACCCTCCCCCTCTTTCATGGTTTTTATTTTTTAATTGGTACTGGGGATTGAACCCAGAGGCCTTTAACCACTGAACTGCATCCTCATCCCTTTTTCTTATTTTTTGAGACAGGGTCTCACTAAGTTCTTCACTAAATTGTTGAGGCTGGTTTTGAATTTGCAATCCTTGTGCCTCAACCTCCCAAGCCACTGGAATTACAGGTGTGCACCACTGTGCCCAGCTTCTTTCATGGTCTTTTTACAACTTAAAAATGCAAAGAATCCTTTGCAATAACCTTGGTTACACAGTAAGGTAGCAATAACTCACAGTGTGCACTGACTATCCAAAACACAGAAATATATAGAAGCAATATTTGCTGATATTTTCCAACAGTGAAGTTAGAATTGTTTTGGAAATGTAATCAGTAAGGAACAATCACTCTAAGTCTCCTTTATTATTAACATGAGAAGCATAAGCATAGGCAGGAATTATTACCTGTGGCAACATGTCGTCCCATTCCAAATATGGCATAGATGATGGCAGGAAACAGAGATCCATATAAACCAAACACTGGGTGCACAGATGAGAGAATAGCAAAGGCCAACCCTGTGAAGAAGACCAGAATGATTAGGACCATCTTATAACATCAAGATATAATCCATGATTGAGGCCAAATGAAATAATTTAATAGTTCTATTTATTCAACAAAAAATCTGGCATTTTTTCCTAAATGGGAGAAAATTACTCATTAGTTCAAATGTATATTCAATTAATGGTGCAGTGACTTGGCTAATTCATGAACCTATCCATTTCCCATTAACTGGACCCTAGTCTATCTCTCAGGTATAATTTCTTAGAGTGGAAAAAAATCAAGTGTGCTCCTTCAATGATCAAGTAAGAAATAACTTTTAATTATTAATTCCTCATAGATATTTCTGTCTATATAGTTTGTATGTTACATGCACATAGAAAAATTTTATAGACCTTTCTAAAGGACCACTGGTGATTTAAATATGACCAAAACATGAATTGGAACAGGTTCATTAACGTGATCTTGTCAGTAGTTGGTCCCTGGCATTAAGCAACTACTATGTTAGGTTCTGACAAATCCATTTGAGTCTATCAATTTAATGTTGGACATCTGATTTGGTGTAAAGTACTTTACAAGTTACAAACAGGAAGGAGGTGGCAATAGAAATGCCTATACTTGAGGACAGATCATTATTCACATTATGGGGCCTAACAGTCTAGTTCTAATATCACTCATTTTTACTGTTGAACTTTTACATTTTAAATTAAATTAAATTTATTTTTTAAATGACCTTTGTATTCATACATAAAATATTTCTCAAGTAGTACAAGACACATTTTAGCCATGATTAAAATAGGTGAGAATTCTACCAAGGACCTTCTTCAAAAACCATCTGGATTGCTTGTTTATTGGTAGTGTATTTCTTTTTGTTGTTGTTGGTTGTTTGTTTATTTATTTACTATAATTTGTTATACATGACAGCAGAATGCATTTCAATTCATAGTACACATATAGAGCACAATTTTTCATGTCTCTGTACACAAAGTAGAGTCACACCAGTTGTGTCTTCATGCATGTACTTAGGGTAATTATATCCATATTTCTTAGTCTGAATGCAATAAAAGTGACTGCAGGGGAGTCGGTGGCAGAGGCTGCTCTAGAATGTCATATAAACATGGTGAGAGTCAGCAATCTGGTTTGTAAGTGCTGGCATTTAAGGCAGGTCTTGGAACTAAGTTAGCACTAGAAGGCTGACTATCCCCTACTCTTCACATTTTGGTTTAACTTTATAAAAAGTACCGTATTTAACCTAGAGTTGCTAAAACAAAAATACTTCTCATTCTAAGAAAAAAGGGCCAACTACCAGTAATTCCATAAGAGAAAAAGAGCTTGGAATTTGGAGAAAATACTAACAATAAAACCCAATGAAAGGAAAGTAAGATGCAATCCTGTGCTACTTCTTTAATCAACAACTTCAGGTCTGGAAGAAAAGGAGAACTAGAGGTACTATTCTAGGTTAGCAATTAGAAAGTAGGGATAGCTATCGAGTCAAATATGAAAGTGTCACACAATATGTTCTCCCTCTTCCTTCCCCCATCCTCCTCTTCTTCTTCTCCTCCTCCTCCCCTTCTTCTTCTTTCTCTCACTTTTCCCTCCAAAACTTGTCTTTCTTGCTTTATTTTTCAGCTTATCTCACATATGCTCTCATTAAAAAAAGAGTTGGTGGAAATGTCTGGAAACCCTTAACATTTGGCAGTGGGAAGATAGGAATCTTGAGTCACTCCAAATGGCCCATCAGCTACACATTTCATTTCCTCCTTGACATTCCAATCTTACCTCAGGACTTTTCATTTATAAAACCAATTAATTTGCTTCTTAGTTGTGCTACATCAGATTGTGTTTTCTATCACATACAATGAGACATTTCCCAATGACAACCTTCTAAAACTTGAGTTTGCCCTACACAAAATTTCTACAATGTTTTTGCCTCACTTTTATGGTCTTATGAAAATATAAATAACGTTTAAATATAACCAAATGTTAAGATGGGGAATGAATGATTGAATCCCAAAGAAGACTTCCAAGAGGAGGAAATGGTGAGTAATACATGGGCAAAAAAAAAAATGAATGAGGAGTGGATGTTTGAGGAGTGAAGGTGAGGAGACTATTTTAGATTGCAGGATCTATTCAATGGCACAGAGTTCTACAAGAACTTGCTTAGTTCTGGAATGCAGAGTCATTTTGGTATGCTCAACCAAAGGGATTCACTTGAGACAGTGCCAAGAGAGGCTAACAACATACATTAAATAGTAAAGGATTTTATGTATTAAGATAAGTGGTTAGAAATTTACCTGGGATTCAAGATGGTGGAAGATTTGAAATTTTAAGATATCCTCTCGCCCAGCTTCTTCTCTGTTCTGATAACCCAACAGATTAGAAAAGATATGGCTAGGCCAGGAAGGGGAAATTCCAGTAAAAGTTCATGCTACAACTTAGGTACTCAATTGCATGCTTTAATGCCAAATACACCAAACAAGAGATGGAACACACCAAACAAGAGAGGAATCGGCTCATCTCTCCTCAAGAGCTGGAGGGAAAACTGGGATTTCACCACTGCTTGAGGAGAAAAAGGATGGGATCATAAACATGAGGTTCCTCAGAGAATGGCAGGCCCATTGACCTGCTGGAGTTCTGGAGAGGCCTGAATACTGTGGCTCTGGAGAGGAACCACTGCAGGGCATAGAACTCTTTCATGACCAGGAGAAAATGTTTCCTCAGTCCTGCCCTGAAAGAGAGAATCTTCTGTGTCATGTACAGCTTCTTATTGGTCCCTGCTTGAGAGATCCTAGCAACCAGATCTGTGTAGGTGGCAAGAAAATGTAGACCCTAATCATCATGAACTTAAAGGTTCTCAAACTGACCCAAGGGAGGAAGGCCAAACTGAACATAGGAGCTAACTCTACCTGCAGAAAGAAAAAAAAAATGATGGCCTCAGAGACCATGAGAGGCTGAAAAAAGTAATAAAGCGTAAATTTTATCTCAATAAAAGTGACTTTTAAAAAAAAAAAAAGCAGCAAGATCTCTCAAAGAAAAGTTAGAAAAATAACAAAAGTTGTACAACTTTCTAACATAAAACATCAATAAAAAGCTGTTGAAAAGTATGCCTAATGTCCTGAGAACAAATTATTATTTTGATCAGAGAGGTAAAAATACCTAACCAGTTAAGCCTGGGATTCTTCCTATCCCTGAAGGCAGAGAATCTTGGCTTATAGGAATCAATGGACTAAGAGTGAAAGGAGGATTATTCTCCAAGGAGCCAGAAAAGGAGGAAAAATAGGTAGGTAAAAAAATATCACCATATACACACCTTGGGAACTATCTTACAATCTTGTGCATTGTTGGTGAAAATGTAAACAAGCACAGCCATTATGGAAATTTGTACTGAAGTTCCTCCAAAAACTACAAATATAGCATGATGGCACATGCCTGTAATCCCAGGTGCTCTGGAGGCTGAGGCAGGAGGATTGTGAATTCAAAGCCAGCCTCAGGAACTTAGAGAGGCCCTAAGCAACCTAGTGAGACTCTGTCTAAAAATAAAATATATAAAAGGGCTGGGGATGTGGCTCAAGGTAAAACACCCCTAAGGTTCAATCCCTGGTACAAAAAAAAAAAAAACCTAGAAATAGAACTAACATAAAATCCACCAACCCAAGTACTGAGTATATATCCAAAGGAAATAAAATCAGTATATCAAAAGCATATATGCCCTCCCATGTTCATGGAACATTATTTACAATAGCCAAAGTATGGAATTAACCTGAGTGTCCACTGATAAATGAATAGACTTTTTAAAAATTTGTTATAAATGTGTAGGTGTGTGTAGCACACACACATATACACATAAACACAATGCACCCATACACACACAAACACAATGCAGACTTAAGAAAGAAGGAAATACTGCCATTGGCAACAACATGGATGAACCTGGAGGACATTGTGCTAAATGAAATAAGCCAAGCACAGAAAGATAAATACCACATGATCTGATCTATTATGTGGAATCTAAAAATGTCAAACTCAGAAAGTTTAACAGAGGCTAGAGGTGGCAGAGTTATAGATGTTGGTCAAAGTATCCACAATTTCAGTTAGACAAGAGAAATAAATTCAAGAGCTCTACTGTGAATCATAATAATTATAGTAAATAATAACATATTATCTACTTGAAATTTCTAAGATAGTAGATATCAAGTGTTCTCACTACCCAAAAGGTAATACATGTGCTGATTAACATTATTTGGCACTCTCTAAATACACTATAAAGTTTTATTTTGTTTTGTTTATACCCAGCTAATAATATCACATTGAGTTTAAAGTGTTGAATTGAGAAAGTCCCTATTAACTCTTGATATTTCTAGGATTTCAGGACATTTCAAGTTTTCTTGTATAGAAACTTAAATATTTAAATTGCAAACATTAACTAATCAGTGCCTTGATGATGTCTTTGTTATAGATCCAAATGAGGAGTTTTATTTTTATCTCTGTTATTGCCCATATTTTGTGGGAACTTCCCCTTAACCAGATCTCACAAATACTCTCCAGCCCCTCYAGCATCACTGTACATAGAAGCATGACCCAAAGGAATTTGGGCTGGGAAGAAATAGTGTTCTTAATCAATTTCTATTAGAATATTTTATTTTCAGACATTTGTGACCATGTGAAAAATTGGCCTTGTAAATGGCAGATGTAAACGGGGATATAATCTTGAACAAGATCAATATTAAGTATATGCAAGTATGAGTTTTTTACATGAATTACTGGAATGGTGGGAGAATGACTACTTTTCACTGAGAGGGTCTTCAGGAGCTAATACCCCATATGAGAGAATCAGCTTCTAAGACAGACAAACAAGTAGAATGTTTCGTGAACATTTTTTGAAAGTATAGAGTTTATTTCCTAAGAAAGAGCGATTGCTGAGGGTGCTTGGGAAAACTGGCCATGCAGATATCACTCAAAGTTCAAGCAAGAGAGGAGTACACATGTCACAAATGAGAAGACAGTAAGGGAAGGGAAA